GAACCACAGACCTTGTGGTTTGTAGTCCAGTGCTTATCGTATGGAATCACTACACTCCCCACAGTGAATGTTAGGGTTCTCTTCATGCAAACAGAGGAACACAGGATACATGACGTATCTGTATATGTATCAAATATCTCTGAAAATGAAGTCAAGGACTGGACACAGACTTTCACTTTAGACCCTGTGACTCTTGAATCCTGAACTATGCACTCTTTTAAATGTTGACTTCTTAAATGTTAAATGTTAACATTAAATAATCATTAGGCATTTCTTCCTACTCGGATTTTTCTACACACATGCACACTGGCTAGCCCTCTCCTCCCTAGACTTCTATACAGAAACCATAGTTACATTCTCTTCCTTTAACTGTCTTGGCCTCTGTGATCCCAATGCTGCCCCAGGATGAGTACCCTCTGCTGGCCCCAAGCCTGGGTTGTCTCCTGTCCCTCACTGGAATCCCTTGTATCTCCTGGGGAAAGTCTGACAGGTGACCTGGCATGCTACCTCAGCTTGCACCCACTTCCTCTCCTCTCCATGTCTTGCTGGTAGAACCTACAGGCCCTCCTGGGTCTCAGGGATCTCTGATGGAGAATGCCTACCCTGCTCTGTTCTCCTTGTCTGTGGACTGACCCTGTGACCCAGAAGTTAGAAGGAATCTACCCCTCAGCTGCATTACTTCTTTACTTTGTGCAAGGAACTTTTGAATTCTCAAGCATCTCTGGAGTAGGAACATCGACCAAGTCTATAAGCATCCTCGGGCCACACAACATAGCACGTCCCCCTAGTTCACCCTGATGGTTAGCCTAGTAGGCCTCATACTTTGACGTGCATTGCAGTCGCTGGAGGAGTCTGTAAGAATGATGTTTTGGGGCTCCAGCATCAGTGATCTGACTCTGAAGGTGTGAGGAGGTGTCCAGGAAGCTGCATTTATAACTGAACCCCAAGGGACTCAGATGGTGGCGATCTATAGGTATACATTTGAGAAATTTACCTATTGTCCTTCTGGACACTTAGATCAAATACTACAGGAGGGTTGGAGAATGCCATCTAAAATGGGTGATGACTCCTCTCTGCTCTAGGCTAACTTCCCAGAATAGACGTCGCCTAAGGAGAACACTGTGACTCTGGACTGTGAACTACCAGCCGCTCCATGGAAGATGAGCTTTCTGCTCCCGTGAAGAGTTACAATCGCAGAAACCCCACACCAGGTAACTCTGAGCCAAAATGAAGATGCTTAACAGCAAAAACAAAAACAAAGGAGCTAACACATAATCTTCAAATCTGCCTGGCAGGTCCCTGAGGGGAAGACTGACTTGTAACCAGCCTTTAGTGTTCAGGAACCAGAAAGACCTACCTGGTATGGCGTGAGCTGCCCGGGGTTGTTGGGGCCTCAAAGGGACTTGCTTCTTTGGGTCCCATAAAAGAAATTTCAGGAAAGGATTTAAACTGATGGTGGACAGGACGAAACTTCCTGAAAAACAGAAAACTTCCACTTTGATGACAGTGGAAAAGGTTGGGAAAAGGGTGACTATCTCAGTTCCAAGCTCTAGGGTCCCAATCCTGATGACAAAGTAGACCTTCACCTTTATGTCTTCTAAGTTCAAAAACAAAGCTCTCAGCAGCCTTACTAGGTGAAACTAATACATATGCCCTCCCTGCCAACTTTTCAAAGCCGAATCACGCTCACAGACTCATTTGAATCTTAGAAGCACTTTCTATGGACTCCTAGTGCGGTGCTGTGAATTAATGCACTGGACTGCAAAGTCGGTTTGAAGTGCAAAGTTGGCAGTTCACCAAAGCTTACCAGCTGCTTCTCAGAAACCCTATACAGGGTCACTATGGGTCAGAACCAACTCAATGGCACTTAACAACAACAAGTGGAAACAAAAGGAAATGGAGCACAAAACAGGACTTGTTCAAATTCACACAAGTAGCCAAGACCAGGCCAGAAGTCGCATCTCTTCACTCCAGATCGAGTTCTTCTCATTTTACCTCTTGACCCTTAAACTACCTTTGAGGACCCTAGTCCTGAAGAAGCTAAATGGAAGAGTAACATACTGGGGTGTGGGGTGGGGTTAGGGGTGATAAGTGATTTTTTGCTCTAGGCTGATCCTCTGCACCATTGCGGGATGATATCACAGCGGGGTCTAAATAGTCAGACCTGTACAGAGTGGTTTTGACAGTTGGCCTCAAGTTGGTCATAATCAAGAAACTTCCAAAGCCAGACCCTGTGATTTGTGTATACTCAGCAAACACTGACCCAAACCAAGGTATTTCAATAGTTTCATGTGCATGTGAAAATTGGACAATGAATAAGGAAACACCACTGTAGAACTGACGCATTTGAGTTATGGTGTTGGAGAAGAATACTAAAAGTACCATGGACAACCAGAAGAACCAACAAATCTGTTGGAAGAAGTACAGCCAGAATGCTCCTTACAAGCCAAGATGGCTTCAGAAAGTTATCAGGAGGGAGTAGTCCCTGGCGAGGACATCATGCTTGGTAAAGTGGAGGGTCAGTGAAAAAGAGGAAGACCTCCAAAGAGATGGACTGGCACATGGGCAGTAGCAATGGGCTCAAGCATAGCAGCAATTGTGAGGATGGTGAAGAACTGGGCAGTGTTTTGTTCTGTTGTGCACAGTCGCTATGAGTCGGTCCCGACTCGACGGCACCTAACAACAACACACCCGGCTGACCTGACTACAGGGTTAGTGATTGGATGCATGTCCAATGCTCCCCAGAAGTGAGTGTGGGCCAGAGCGAGTCTTCCTGGACCACGGAGGAGGCACCTTCCCCACTGCTGCTATATGCCATGACTACTTGTATTTACTGGATGTTGAGGGTTGGGGTTGGAGGACATGTACCCCCGCTGATGGGAAGTGATAAAGGAAACACCTCACTGCCACTCCTGTGTCCTTCCCACTCACATCAGGCCACCGAAGCCAAGTCAGTGCTGCTTGTAGTAGCAGGAAGGGCTGTCGGTCCATCTGCAGGACCTGGGGCTGGGTCTTCACCTGCCTTACCCCAGGTTGAAGAACAGAGAATGCTGGCCCCAGTTGTCTCCAATGGGTATGCATGGCCTTTTTTGGGTTAACCTTTGGTTCATGACATGGATTTTTTTGGGTTAACCTTTGGTTCATGACACGGACTTTGGATCGATCACTTATTGAAGGGTCAGTCACAACCCAGCGGGGCAACAGCCCATCAAATGAACATCAACTTAACCTACCTGGGACCATAATGGCAGACAGAGGGCACAGTGGAGAAGGTCCCAGCAGGGCAGCGAGGAGACCTGGATTCTATCCTCAGGCTGCATCTCATTAGGAAGGCTGTGTACAAGTCCCTTCATTTCTGGTACCTCAGATTCCCCACAAGACACTGGATGCATTCTCCTCAGGTGACTCATGAGATAAATGTGCCCTTTGCTAGGGCTTTATTCAGCAAGTCACAGAGGCTCCATTGAGTATAAGGGAGTCCCTGAAGCCAGCCAAGATGATACCTCCAGCTGTCCTAGACTGTGATTGGGCCCCATAGTGATCTGGCATGAAATCTCAGCACATGCGCAGGGGAAATGAAGACCAAAATGAGCCGAGCTGGCCATCAAGAATTCATCATAGTTGACTATTCATAGCAGGGAATTCCCAGATAAACTATCTCCCCCCGAGGCGGCTCGTGCTCCGTTGGGGCTTCTCCAGGAGAACAGGAGTGGGTGATTTCTGGGGCAGAGAAAGGTACAGGGCTCCCAAACACCTCTCCTCCTGTGTACAAGCCAGGCATGGGAGGCAGCGAGAGAGGGCCCACTTACCTGCTCACATCTTCAATCTTGAGGAATGGTGCCTTCAGTCTGGCCACTGGAAGGGAAAGATGCACACATTAGCTATCTGTCTGCCCCAGTGCAAGCCTGTGCCACACACGGGAAATGCTGAGAGGGGCGGCTCTGCCAGAGCCAAGAGCCTCTTAGGCACCGGAACCACACTGCCCTGGTTGTGCCTTTTCATTTGGCAGGGGTGAGACACCCTCTCCCAGCTCCTCCAGCCCTGACTCTGAGGACAGAAAGAGTTCCACTACTGGGGGAGAGGCTGCAGAGGGCCTAGGGCCCTCAGCATGCCCTCCCTCAGCAGCCTACAGGACCCTCCTGTCTGGAAGCTGCCAACTGGCCAACGATGCCACAACTACCAGTAGAAACCTGGCTGGGAGAAATCCTGCTCCTGTTAGTTTCTGCTAAAGACAACGTCGGAGTTGTCAACATCATAAAGCCTTAGGTCCTTCTTCCTAGACCTTTGCTCCTGGCATTCTCAGTGTCCCAAGGGCTCCCGGCATACTCCTGGGGCAGAATTTTCCATGGGAGACCTGGTCTTTTAAAGAGGAGGAGCAGAGAGAAAGAGGGCCACAGAGGGTTTAGTGATCCCATTAGCAGGGTGGGAGAAAAACACCCAAAGAGGAACGTGGTTCTTGAAAACAGCACAAAGAGGTGCTGGAAAGAAAAATTTGAAGTCAGTTAATCAAGAGAGTCACCCTTTGCTGGTAGCTACATGTACAGATTAGAAAGTAGTTTAAGCATTAAGAACTACTTCTACTTCACTACAGTGACCAGGAGATTTGTGAAAGGGATAAGGCGGACCTGACAGCCACAAAACCTCCAGAGGCTGGTGGGTTTTGGCTCTAGCTCTGCCGGAGGCTGCCACCAGCACCCAAGCAAAAAGCAGTCTTTTCTCCTTGAGCTGCAGCAGCTCCCATTAATGACTCCTTTTGGACGATTTCTTGTCTTTCTAATTAACTAAGACAGTGATTAAAATCAATTCCCCCACAGACTTCCTTGCATTTCGAGCATGAGAGGTGCCAAGTGACTTTTCTTAGCTCCTGCTTGTGCACGAGGAAATGCCACTTAAAGAGCATCTTTGGGAAAAAGATCCAGAGGGAGAAACTCTCCCGCTGTCCAAGAGGAGCCGGTGAGACGGAGCCTGTCAATCTGTTGTTCATCAGTTTCAGGGAGTTTGGCATTTCTGAAATCGGTACCCAGCTGTCAGACTGCCCACCCCAAACTGTTTCCGAATCAGAAGGAAAAGGATGCTTAACTTTAATTGAAGCCCAGGAACAGCCAGAGGATGAAGGAGCCAAAGCCACTGCGGGGGCCTTGGCTCTAAAGGAGAGGCCCAGGCCCAGCAATTCTGACTTGCCCTTGGACATACATGCCTGTCCTGCCCCAGAATCCCAGGGCTCAGGCCTGGGGAACACAAGGGGGCCACACAAGCTGGCCTCACTTCCTGCCGCAGAGAAGTGAGCAGATGCTGCCACAGAGGGAAGTGTTTAGGGAGGAGGGACTGCAATTAGACGAGATGCTACCACACTGACCTTTCCGCGTTCTTGACACTGCTGGACGTGCTCCCTGAAAGGAAAAGGAAACTAGGTTAGGGATGTGAGGGAGCCATGGGGGTCAAGGAGCGGGGCCCAGGCAGACTGAGGTGCCAAGAGACTGTCCCACTTTGCTTCTTGCTGCTGGGAAGCCTGCAGAACCAGCTCTCTGCCTAAACTGGAGCAGACCTGAGACCCAGCTCTCCCATCACCTTCCCAGGAATAGGATGAACGGCGAGCATTCAGGAGCTGGCTGGCCTTCTGTGTGTGGGTCTCAACAGCAGCTGACTCTGGGGAGGGAACACAGTGTGTGCAAAGCGCAAGAGCTTGGGAGTCCCACAGGCTGGGAGAGCACAGGTGTGTGGAGTACCCACTTATTGCATAGGATGTGGCAGGGATTAAAGTGGAGCAGGTGAAAGTCCTGGCGTTGAGCTGTAGGGGAGGTGCCCACTAATGGCAGCTTTTGTTCTCTGGGCACTTCTCCAGGTCAGCCTACAAGGCAAGATAGAAACAAGGGCCATCTGCTTCCATGGGTTCTCCCTTTGGTAGTCTGACCCTGTTACTCAAAATGCAACATGTAAGCCAGGGACAAATACAGACGATGTTAAAAATGAAATGAAACAAATGACAACATCCGAGGAAGCTTCCCATATCCCTTGTGGATCAGCAGATTACATCTAGAACTCCGTCCAAAAGGCTCCCAAGTGTCTCTGAAACAATCCACCACATTGTGCTTTACCATTCATCAGCTGATAGATATTACTGAATGGAAAAAGCAGAGTGAAAGGCTCTGGCTTTGCATACAAAGGACTAGTTCGCTTGTACAAGGGTAAGTCAAAAAGCATTACTACTACGGTTCCAGTTCATACATGCATGGCTTTATTACAAACAAAATGTTTTTAAACACGTTTCTGTGATCAGTGGATGGCTGAAGACACGTCCTCTCAGTAATACACGTGTCTCATCTTTATCAATTTTCTCGAAGGACACAGGATAATCACAGGGTCTAATTAGGAGTCCTGGTGTGGCACTGTGGTCTAAAGCGTCAGAATGCAAAGTTGTTTGAACTGCAAGGTTGGTGGTTCAAGCTCACCAGCTGCTTGAAAACCTTATACAGGGTCACTAAGGGTCAGAATCAACTTGATGGCACTTAACAACAACAATTAGGAAGAAGTTTAGCAAAACTGTGTCAAGGAATTTTTTTCCATGACGACAATGCACCTGCCAATTCTTCAAGGGTAACAAGAGCTGTCCTGTAGGAATTTCGTTGGGAAATCATACCCCATCTACACTTACAGGCCTGATCTTGCCCCTTGAGATTTCTTTTTGTTTCCCAAACTCAAAGAACATTTCAAAGGAACATAATTTGAGTTCCTGGAGGATGGCAACACTGACATGGTGCAAATCAAAGGGCACAGGATTCTTTGGGGGAAGGGTTAGAGAGATGAGATCACCACTTTCAGATCTGGATGGAGGATGTGCCAGGAAAACAGTAACTTCACAGTTTGAGATTTTTGTTTAATAAAGATTTCTATGATTTTGGAGCAGCACTTTTTGACTTACCCTTGTATATACATGGAGTCCTGTAGGGATTCCTGAGACATGGTGTACACTATTTCTCTCAGGGACAAAGCTTAGTGAGTAGCTGGGAAGCAGAAGTTAGGGGAAGGAGGGCGGCACAGAAAGACTTTTGCACTCCGTGAACTTTGAACAATGCAAACCTACTTAGCAGAAGTGGCAAGAGCACCAAAACCTCTAGGCTCCTGGACAGAGGTTGTGAGGGAGGGGAAACTGGGAGGCTGAGCTCTCCATCTGGTTCGGCTGTGCTTTGCTACTACTGCTAGCCTTGCTCCTGGACGCCAGGCCTGGGTGGAAGTGCGAGCTCAGTCTTTCCTGAGAGGCCTGAGTAAAGACAGCATGGTTTGATAAGGTGCACAACTCTTACCCCACCCAGCAAAGGAAGGAAAAACCATATGAGAATTTGGAAGACGGCAGCTATGTGAAATCACAACACTCCCCTCTCAGCCCACCCATGCAATCTGCACAAGCATTTCCAGGCCAGCGGGACATGAATGTTTATAGTTTCTAGGCCAGGGCTGCCCACTGGCAGTGCATGACGTAGGCCACAGCAAACACCTTGGCAGGGTGAGAGGCCATGGCTGGTGTCCACACGGCACAAAGCTGTGGACGGGAAGAATGAGGTAACTGAGAGGCTGCCCACTTCACTCTTTTTTGTGGGGACGGTCAGAAAGAGGTGGGTCATGGGATTTATCAAAGTTGTCACAGACTAAACTATTGGAGAGTATTTGTTTTCCTTCAGTTCTACAGGACCTACCTCTGTCTTCTTTGCTTCTGGTTTCTTCACACACAGAGCACCAAGAGACAGCTGCTGCACATGCACCATCATTTCTGTGGAGAACAGAGGGCTGTGGCCAAAGGCTTCCACTCAGCAAGCATCCAGCACAGCCCTGGCTTGGGGCCTTTCCTGCCATCTTCTGGTCACACATCACCTCTACACCTCCTGACAACAGAGGAAAGGGCTCGATCTTCTAGCCCGGGAACAGCACCTAAGTTGGCTCTTTTGTGGCACAGAATACAACTCATATTTGTACAGGAGGTGCCTTCGATTTGAAAAAGAGGTGCCTCTGGCTCACAAAGGGCAGTAAGGTACTATGAGGAGCTGCTGCAGGAGAGACCAAGCCATGGGAGGTAATCAGACGGATCCGACATGGAGTTTCTCTCATAGACAGCAAGGCAGGAAACTGGATCAGGTTCGTGAGGTCTGATTTTCCAGCAAGATGGAGCTCTCACATCCAAGACCAGGAACTTCCTAGATAGCCCCCTCTTCCCACTGCAGACCTTAGTAGTGATGGGTGGGACAGCATACATCAATCAATACCTGTCCTGCCTGGATCAGCCCCACACAATGGGTCAGAGAACAGACTCAGAGTGGAGCTGGGTATCGGGGGCCAGGCCAATCAGGGCAGTTATTCTAGTGCAAATTGATTACAACCCACAAGCAGGGCACTACATTCAAAAAAGCAAGAACATGTCAGGCCAAGCTGAGTTGGTATGTGGGCCACACCCCTCACTCCTGACCAGATCAGGAACAAGTGACTCTGAGGCTCCATGTCCTCATGTGTACAGTCGGACCAAGATTGGGGTGAGGATTCTGTGAGGCAACTCCCAGCACAGAGTGAGTAGCAATAAGTGAATATGGGATTATCTCCTTATTTGCAGAATGGTCTTATCACATTGGCTTGACGAGAGTTGTGCGGATTGCAGGAAGCAATCAAGGTATTGTCGTTTATGCTTCCCCTCCTATCCTCCCACCTTTGTGGACCAGCACATCTGGCTTCTAGCTACCCAAAGCCACCAGATCTCCCTGCCCCCAGGAGCCCAGGGAAGAAACGGTACCGTCCACATGTAGAATCCTCACTCCCCATGAGCAGGCATTGGTCAGGAGGTTGCTGCTGCCCCCGCTGCCTCCTCCGCTGCTGCTCCCCTGGAATGATGATGCAGGTCAGGCAGGGGCACGTGAGACCCTCAAGGCCTGAACACCATGGAGACAGGTTGTTCTGGCCTCTAGGGGCCCTAGGTCATTCATGTGGGAGAGGTAGGCAGGCAGGGAAGAGAGCATAGCCTGGAGCGTCTACCCCAACTGCCAGGATGACACGCTGTTCTGTGCGCCGCTGCTGACCTGCTCAGTGCTCTCCTCTCCTTGGCCACTTGGTGACTAGGAGGGAGCACGAGCTGAGAAGAGCACTGTTTGTTGGGAGGGACTCTGGGAGAGCAGCACACAGTCAGGTCACAACTACCAGCAGGGACAAACACTTCCTTCAGGTGGGGGACTATGCTGGCGGCAGACCTTGCCTGTCTTGCTGCCCTCTCTCACCACAGCCCATGTGCCTGTCTTGACAAATCCCTATGACACCGCCTCCTGCCACTTAACTTGAATGGCCCTGGATTCTCATAACTACTTGTAAACAATGTACAAAGTCTCCCTTATGTGTAGAGCAGACATTAACCCACACACAACACTCTGAAGTTCTTTCGAAGGCTCTGGAGGTAGAAAGAACAAGGAATCAAATCCTGGTTTTCTGGCTCACTCACTCAGTGACTGAACAAGTTACTTAACATCTCTGGAATAGTCACTGCCTTGTGTGCAGGAAGGCAGTACTACTCCATACCGCACAGGGTGTGCACTTCACATTAGTACTAGAGAAGAACCTCAGAGGACATGCTAAATCCATTCCTGTGCTGCAGGTAGGAGACGGAAATGTCCGCTTTCATGTCTCCTCTCCACCAGCTCACCTGCTTTCTGATGGCCTTCTGCAGCAGCTCCTTCCCTCTGCTCATAGGCACCTGACAGAATGAGAAGAGCCATGAGCTATGGTGCAAAGACCCGTGTAGTAACAGATGTTTACACACGTGCTAGCAATGACGTCTTGTGGTCATGTCCCTCAGAAAGCTCTGAATTGTGACTGCTAAGGAGTGGCAGAAATGAGAGCTTAGAGCACCACAGGAGGTAAAGATAAAACCACACACAAATTTAAATCTCCCACAGGTGGCTGCAGCCTGGGCTGCCTGGACCCTGGTGGAGAATTCACATGAGACCAAATGGCTACAAATGTTCCAAATCCTCCTGTGCTCTCTGGTGAGTGAGGCACAGCAGACACTTCATTTTAGAAAAGCTTCCCTTTGCTCCTTGGAAGTGCTGCTCTTCATCATGAGTCCAGTGGCGTAGGTTTCGTAATAGTTTAATTTTGCCAAATAAAGCAAAGTTAGGAATGTTAACATTGGGAAAAAGTTATTGCGCATTATAAGTAAACGATATGATATGTGCATTATGCAAACTATTGGACCTTCATACATGAGAGCAAGGGAGAAGGGACTTGCCGCCTCTTCAGGATGACTAGGCCAACTGCATTCAAGTCCTCTGGGTACAAAGGACTCTCCTGCTGATTTTAGAACTTTGACTCTAAAGTTCCATAAAAAGTGAACTTCCATCACAGAGGGGATTAACACAGGGATAGCATGTTGCTGAAGTGTTTAGGTCCAGAGCTATGATACAATACTTTTGGAACCAACTTCAAATGAGAAATGAATTTAAACCACATTAAGCTAAAAGCAGACACTACTTAAAAAGACTCACTGAGGCCTACTTCTTTTGTTTATAGAATGCGGCTTCCCAACCCACCAGGTTCTTACCAAGTCTACAGGTTTATGTAAGGCTGTGGCAGGGTTTTCTTTTGGACTGGCCAAGGATGGTGTTTCCGCTCTGCCTTCGCTGGGGCTAGGGCAGCCTCTGTGGCTTGTTTCACTGCTCTCTGCCTTCGCCTCCCTGCGGCTGGACACGATGTAACTTACTTCTTTGCTCAGAAAGCCCTCAATTACCTGAAACCAGATCACAGAGGTGGCTGAAAACCAAAAGGCAGATGTAGAATTGTCAACAGAAAGAAGTTGGGGAGGAAATCTCAGCTGCCAGAAGCTCCTGAATCAATACCTTTAATAGAGCAAATGCAACACTGTACTGAGTCTCTAAGAAAACATCAACCTGAAACATAAAAGGAAAAAGAAAGGCTTTTTATCTCCAGAACTGCTGCTCCGGATTTAACAGCAGAGGGTCATGGGCTTGGAATTGTATAAGCAGCTTGCATTTAAACTGAGCGATAGCACAGTGAAGAAGAAGACAGGAAAGGGTTGTATGGTTTAAGCCATCATTTTCATGTATAAGTGGCCATTCGGACATTGCATCTGTAATCGTGACCACACAATATAAAGGAAGCTATAAAAGGAAGCAAAAGAGGATTTTGGCTACTCAGCTGTGTAGGTTATCTGCTCACCCTATTAGACTGTGAGCAGTGAGAGGGTCAGACCCATTTTTACATCCCAAGAACCAGCATAGAGCTGGACCCAGGACACTTAACCATTTGTGGAAAGACGGAAATAAGCAGTGGTGAACTGGTGAATAATCTGCGATTGACTCTCGGGGCAAGAAAAAAAAATCTACTCTCTAGCAAGAAGTAAGTCTTTTGTCAATTTTGGGGGTAAATACTCCCCCCGCTACGATGGCTTTCAAGCTACCAACACGACATCACTGAAAGCAGTGTTGGGAAGAGATGCTGTCGTGAGCCGGGAGCATCCAGCTTTAGCACATCACTGAAAATCAGGATGGATGATATCTCAGAAGTGTGACTGGATCAGAAATCTGATACTTAGGTTAAAAAAATCCTTAAAGTTATGGCTTGAAGGAATACAGGTTACCTTCTTTAATATGGCAAAAACAAATACTAGCAGGTACGATGGAGTAATTATTATTCTATATAAATGTGGTAGATTGCTTAATAGTAACAAATGCTTCTCAGCCCAGTAAGCCCACTGCTCTGCAATATAACTTTGATGCTTTTCCCATCAACAGGTAGAGCCTAATTTTTCCATCCCTTTGAATCTGACTTTCTTTGACCAATAGAATGTGTAAAAGTAATAGGTATGAGTTCTAGAGTCTAGGCTTCAAGAGGTCTTGCAACATCCCCTCCACCTTCTAGGAAGGCTGTCTTGAGACCACCGTGTATGTCAGCTGGTCTAGCTTACTGGAGGATGAAAAGCCACAGAGCCCAAAAACAAGGCAGTCAGCTGACAGCCAGCATCAACTGCCAGATACACGAGAGAGGCCATGCCGGTCCTTCCAGCCCAGTTGATCCTCCTGCTAAATGTGGCTGCATAAGTGAGCCTAGCCAACCCATAGAATTGTTGTTGGTCAGTGCTGTCGAGTCAGTTCCGACCCACAGCAACCCTGTATAGGGATTCCAAAGAGCAGCTGGTGTGCTTGAACTGTCGTCTCTGCGGTTCAAACTGACTTTGCAGTTCAGCGCATTAACCTGTAGCGCCACACCAGGACTCCAACCCCCTCATAGAATAGTAAGAAATAATAAATAGTGGATTTAAGTTCTGGGGTGTTATTTTACACAGCAAAGGCTAAACGACAGAATAGACTGAAAGTTTAAAAAGTAATTATGGGTCAGTTGAGCATATAATGTTCATTCTCCCTATTCCCGAAGCTGAGCTCCTATGTCCCTGAGTTTCTGTTAGCTTGACAGCAATGAGGCTCTGCAGTCCAAGTCTGCTCCCCAGTTACCAGACTCTTTTGGAAGCACTACAACACTAGGTTCTAAACAATGCACCATTGTTGTTAGTGTTCAGTGCTGCTACGTCGGTCTCTACTCACACCAAGCCTGTATGGGGTTTCCAAAGACCAGCTGGTTGGTTTGAACCACTGACCTTATGGCTAGCAGTCCAGTGCTTATCCTACAGTGGCACACTACCAGGATTCCAAATGTAACATATAACACAGTATATACTTTAAATATATTTTAATGGATTAAAGTACAGCCAATGCTATTCACCCAAAGTTGTTTACCACAATGCTATTTATGAGAGTAGAATTGAGAAGGAATTTAAATATCCATAGGGCAACAGTTAAGTAAGTTAATTATCCATTCAAAAGAATATTATATTCCTATTACAAATAATGCATACGAGGGCCAATGACAGGCTAGGAAAGTGCTATTACTTTAGGGTTAGATACAAAAATGTGGTCATCTAACATGTATTCCTGACAATTAATCAAATCTACATAGAAAAAAAGTATCCCCCCAAAAAAGGATAGAAGACGAAAGTCCATTAGTGGTTGTCCAGGGCTGAAAAGGTTGTAGGGTAGAGAGAAAGAAGAGTAACTGCTGCATTTTAAAAATGTTACTTTGGAAGATGTAGTGACACCACTGAAAATACCTGGAGAGCCGATATAATCCTTCTCCAGCTCCTGGTCTATGACCCACAAAGGCATATGGTATCACAGAAGAGAAGTGGGTTACATACCCCGCCCAGCTGCTGGATGGCCCCAGTCAAAAACTGGAGATTCTTGCCAGCAGGCAGATCCAAGTAAAATGACTTTCCAGAAAAGGGCTTCCTCCTAGCCCCTGGTGAGCTCTTCTGGCCTTTTCCCAGCCAACTGGAAGCTCCTAGCTGACCCCCTAGAAAACAACAACAAAGAGAAAGAAAGTAAAGAACTTGACATGACACTATAGAGTTTTCCCTTGAACATGGGTCTGAACTGCATGATCCACTTATATGTATGGTTTTTTTTATGTCATGTGACACTAATCATGTGAACAGTCCATCTCTCAGTAAACTACACACAGCAGTAAAAAGTGCTTTCTTGTGGTTCTTGCAATTTCCCATGTTTAATCCAATTCTGTAAACCTTAAATAACACCATGGGAACCATAAGAAGATTACTAGTGATGCTGTATGTGTTCCCAAGAAACAGAGTTGTCTGCCATTTCAAGATAAATGAATCCAATGTAAGGACCATCGTCAAAAAAAGAAAGTTCTTGAAGCCATCAATCACTAAAACTATGTCAGCAGGCATGAAAGAAAACCTTGCACTTTTTGTAAAATAGGTTTTTATGTTGTATTGAAAATGCTATTTTTATATGGTACAGTATATAATACATGCGAGGGGGCTTCAAAAGGTTTGTGGAAAAATGAAAAATTTCCAGAAACTTCTTGAAGCTCCCTTGTAAAGCATGCAAAATATGTGTTAACTTACAGTTATAAGTAAAGTCAATGATAGTAATGTTCTTTTTTGTTAAGGTTAGGGATGGAGATTGGGCTAAATTTGAGTAGAGCCTGGTCTAGTTTTAGGATTACAGTTAAAGTTTTTATCATTTAATTACATTAATTAATTTATTTTTCATATATTTATTTAGCATTTTGGACATGTTAGCAAAATATCTATTAGAGGTCTTTTGCCCAGTTTCTAATAGCTGTTTGAATTGATTTTATAAAGTAATTCTTTTCTTTAATTTATAATAATTACGTTTGGGGGCAGTCAAGTTACACGTGGAGTTTTGACTATGTTGGGGATTGATGCTCCTAACCAAGTTGTTCAAGAGTCCACTGTAGTGACTACCATCCTCCCTCAGATGTGGGGAAACTGAAGCGCTCACACATTCTGGTGGGGATGTAAATGGTATAGCCATGTTAGAAAACAGTTTGGCAGTACTTCAAAAGTTACAAATCTGGTTTTCATTTGAACATAGGAAAACATATGTCTATATCAAAACTTGTACAGAAAGGTTTGTAGCAGCATTTATTCATAATAGCTCAAAAGTGGAAAGACCTCAAATACCCATCAACTGATGATGAAACACAATGTGGAGTATGGAAAATTGTTGTTAAGTGCTATCAAGTTGGTTCCCATTCATAATGACACTGTATTGGGTTTCCCAGGAGCAGCTGGTGGGTTTGAACAGTCGACTTTGCAGTTAGTAGTCCAGTGGTTGTCCTATAGCACCATACCAGGACTCCCAATGGAAGGTTGTTGTTGTTGTTGTTATGTGCCATCGAGTCGGTTCCGACCCATAGGTTACTCAGCAACCAAAAGGAGTGAGGTACTGACACAGTCTGTAATGTGGACGAACCATGAAACCAGTATGCTAAGTAAAAGAAACCAGCCACTATTGCATAATTCTAGTTTATAGGATTCAATTTATGTGAAATGCCCAGAACTGACATAATCTTTGATGTCAGAAAATTAGTCTTTCCAAAGAAGAACTAAAACTAACTCCATACTCAAACACATCAAAGTGAATATGCAAAACACCAAAGACTAAGCGATGAAACTAAACCAGAGGGGAAAATAGACCCTACCAAATATTAACTATAATGGAATAACTATTTGCCCTTTCATAGATATTTCTACAGCAATGTAAAAGGCCAGAAACCTGTATAAATAATGGTGCTGAGAGAAAATGTCAACTTTGAATCTTACATACAACTATTGTTTAGTTGTATGTAAAATTTACATACAATTAAACTATTGTTCAAGAGTGAAATAAAAACATTTTGGAAAAACAAAAACAAAAGCCAGGTTATCACCAACAGCTTCTCCCTAAAGAATTTCTAAAGGATGTTTTCAGAAAGACAAAAACTGAACCCTGAAGGAAGGACTAAACCTTCAAAAGTACATATAAATCTAAATAATCATCAACTGTATAAAACAATACTAATGAAGGCTAATTTGGAAATAAAAACTGTCCTTTACACAATAATAAGTATATTGCTGCTAAACAGTAATAACATGTTAGGTAGGGGGAGGGGTGGTTCAGAAATAGAACAGTTCAAGCTCTTAACATTACAACGTTCTGGAGGAAGTAGAAATATTTACAGCATCAGGGTTTGCCAAACCACCTTGGAAACTAAAAGAAGATGGAAAAGGGCTTCAAAATTCTGAGAGAAAATAATTTCTAACCTAGAATTCTCTATATAGTCAAACTATCATTCAGATGTAAGTTAAAATAAAAAACTGGTCAGATCTGCAAGGTCTCCAAAAATTACTTTTAATGTACCTTTCTCAGAAAGCTATATGGGGGGATGTATATGGGAAGATGGAGTCCCGGTATGGTGCTGTGGGTTAATGCGCTGGACTGAAAGGTTGGTTTGAACTGGTATAAGCTCATCAGCTGCTCCTTGGTAACCCTATACAGGGGCATTATGGGTCGGAACCAACTCCATGGCACTGAATAACAACATATGGGAGGATGTACTCTACCAGACTGAGTAAGTATGCCAAGAGAGAGGAAAATATGGAATTTAGGCTAGAGGGGATCTAACACAGGAAAGAGGTGAAGAGAATTTCACTGAATGATGGAGCCCCTAGGATACAATCAGTACAACAGGCACTAGTTCATATCAAAACAAGACTGGAGTACTTAGACAAATAGTCTCAGAATGCATATCTTCAGACAAAGAAACTAATAGATCTGATGAGCTTCATGGTACTTCTGGCCATGAATTGGGGAGCTGTACATAGGAAATGATGCAAATTTCCTCATTTACTATATGGTTCAGCTGTGAATAGCCTTTATATAATCATCATAATGTAAATACAAAAATCATACTGCGTGGATGAGGAGAGAAGAGAAATACGTGTATGTGTTTGATCCATAGAAAGTCAATGTCGCTGTTGCTGTTATGTGCCGTCGACTTGGTTCCGACTCATAGTGATCCTGTACAAGGGTTCTAAGGCTGTACATCTTAATAGGAGCAGAAAGTCTCATCTTTTTCCCACGGAGTGGTTGGTGGGTTTGAACTGTCAACCTTGTGATTAGCAGTCCAGTACCTATCCTACACCACCAGCACGCCCCAGAAACTCACCAGATATACTTTAAAGTGGAAAACAACAACAAAAAACAGTATGAATATGCTATCCAGAAATAAAAAGGCAAATGCTAGAAGAAATAGCTTTAAAAAAAAAAAGCTGTGAATGGTTGGGTGTACCCAAGGGAGTAGGAATCAGGGAATATGAAAGAAAGCAAAGAAGAATGTTTTGTTTTGGGAAAAACTTTGGTATTTTAAACTATGTAAGCATAAAACTGTAATATAAATGAAAACAAAAACATTCCAAAATCAGTTAATACCACTATTTATTATTCAAATTTTCACACCAACTACTAAAGCCTGTGATGCTGAAATTGAAGCATTCTACAAACTTCTTCAGTCTGAAATTGATCAAACATGTAATCAAATATTGTTGTTGTTGTTAAGTGCTGTTGAGTTGATTCCAACCCATAGCCACCCTGTATAGGGTTTCCAAGGAGCAGCTGGTGAGCTTGATCCACCGACCTTGAAGTTCAGACGACTTGCAGTCTGACCCTTTAGCCCACAGCGCCACACTGGGACTCCATTCAAAGATTACTAACATGTAATCAAGATGTATTGATAATTACTGGTGATTGGAATGTGAAGGCTGAGAACAAAGAGAAAGGATCAGTAGTTGGAAAATATGGTCTTGGTGACAGAAACGATGCTGGGGAATTTTGCAAGGCTAATGATTTACTTAATGGAGTCCTGGTATGGCACTATGGGATAAAGAATTGGACCGCAAGGTTGGTTTGAACCACAAGATAGGTTGTTCAAATTCAACAGCCAGTCCTTGGAAATAGGTTCACTGAGTCAGAACCGACTCGATGGCACTTAACAACAATGACTTAATATCACATGCAAGTAAACTTTTACTGAAGATAATTAAGAAATGGCTGCAACAGTACATCAACAAAGAACTACCAGAAATTCAAGCCAGATTCAGACGCGGTGTGGACTAAGGGTTATCACTGCTGATGTCAGATGGATCTTGGCTGAAAGCAAATAATACCAGAAAGATGTTTGCTTATGCTTTATTGACTACACAATGGTTTTTAACTGTATGGATCATGTAAAACTATGGATAACACTGCAAAGAATGGGAATTCCAGAACATTTAACTATGCTCATGAAGAACCTCTGCATAGACTAAGAAGCATAAGAAGCAGTCGTTTGAACAGAACAAGGGGATACTGAATGGTTTAAAATCAGGAAAGGTGTGCACCAGGGTTGTGTTCTTTCACCATACTTACTCAATGTGAGAAGCTGAATTACAATGATTATAAGAAGAACTGGCATTAGGATAGGAGAAGAGTCATTAACAATCTTAAATATTCAGATGACATAACCTTGCTTGTTTGAAGTGAGGAGGACTTAAAATACTGATGTAAATCAAAGAGTACAGTCTTCAGCATGGATTACACTGCTATGTAAAGAAAACAAAAATCCTCACCACCGGACCAATAAATAACATACATATAAACGGAGAAAAAAACTTACAAATCAACTTCATTTTGCTCTGTTTCACAATGAACACTAATGGAAGCTGCAGTCAAGAAATCAAAGGATGGATTATATTAGGCAAATCCGCTGCACAAGATCTCTTTTAGAGAAAAGATAACAGTTTGAAGATTAAGGTGTGTCTGACCCAATCCAATGCATTTTCAAAAGCCTTATATGCATGTGGAAGTCATACAACGGATAAGGAAGACCCTAGAAGAATTGATGCATTTGAGTCATGGTGTTGGAGAAGAATATTAAAAGTACCATGAACTTCCTGAAGTACAAAAACTTCTGTGTTGGGAAAAGTACAGCCAGACTGCTCCTAAGAAGCCAGGATGGCAAGACTTTGACTCTTGTACCTGGAACATGTTATCAAGAAGGACCAGTGCCTGGAGAAGGACATCGTGCTTGGTAGAGAGTCAACAAAAGAGAGGAAGACCCCCAGTGAAATGGATTGGCACAGTGGCAGCAGCAATGGGCTCAAGAGTAACGATTCTGAGTATGGCGCAGGGCCTGGCACTGTCGTGCATAGAGCCACTCTGAGTTTGAGCAGACTTGAGGGCACAGTTGACTTGGACTTCTGGTGTGGCTCTGTGGGATAAGTGTGGGCCGGCAAGGTCGGTTTGAACAGCAAGGGCGGTGGTTCAAAGTCACCAGTTGCTCCTCAAAAACCCTACACTGTACTATGAGTCAGAACTGACTCAATGGCACTTAACAACAACAGTCCGTTTGAACCACAAGGTCGGCGGTTCAAGCTCACCAGCCACTCATCGGAAACCCTGTATAAGGTCGCTATGAGTTGGAACCGACCCGACAGCACTTAACAATATCATATCCTGACTACTTTGTCTATGTGCCTGCTTTGTCCATAGTATCACCCTGAAAGCTCTTCTGTACCATACATTCCTAGATGATCCAGGACACCCTTCCCCAACAAAACTATCAAGGAATTAGAAAACCCAAATAGGGCTAAAATCTCTCATCTGTATGGTAGTGTAGCTGCTAATCTTACGGTCAGCAGTTCGAAACTACTAGCTGTTCCGTGGGATAAAGATGAGACTTTCTGCTCTCGTAAAGATTTACAGTCTCGGAAACCCTGGTAAGAGTCACTGTGAGTTGGAACCGACTCCACGGCGCATAACAACAACATCCTCTCAAGGGGGCTCTAGGTCATGATTTCGCATCCCTAGTTTTGATCAGTTACCTACCTAGGTCCGGAACCCGGAGCCTAGTCTCAGCCATGGAATTCTCCAGTTCTAGGTCGCCTGAGAAAGAAGGACAAAGCTCAACCACTTTCTCTAGCCTTCGGCCTTCCAACGCTCTCGCCTCCCCAAACCCGCACAATGCCGGAGATCACAATACGACTCCCAAAGTCAGGTCGATTCAACTCCAGCCTGACTCAGTCAACTCCCGTATCTCCTTCCATGCTCTTGTCCCACATTCTGTCCCCTTAACTCCTGTGTAGCCCTTAGCCACATCTTGTTCACCTTTTAAATTCCCATGTCTCCTTCCAAACTCCAGTCCCTTCGCCCCTTTAGACCTCTGTCCCCCCCAACTCCCGAGACCTGCTGAATCATCTCAGTTCCTATGACGCCTTTATGGCTCTTTATACTCTCATCAAATTTTGTAATTATCCGTTCCTCAATTTCTACACCCACTTTCTGACCCCAGACCCTCTGTTCGATCCTCACGATCCCTTTTCCCTTCCTTTTTAAACCACCTTTCTCCCCCTCTCGGCATCCGTACCCGTTCCCTGCTCCCTCCTAAAAATTTTGGCTCCTTTTCGGCTTCCGTACTGCTTCAGGGCCTGCGTGTTACAATCTCGGGCTCCTAAAGAGCTCCCTTAGACTCTCGAATCCCAGAAGTTCCTCTGCATCTTTCTCTGGACGCTCCCGGCCGCGGCTACGGTTTAAATTTCCTGCTTGCTCCTCCCCTGAAATATTTTAATAGCTGAGGGAATCTGCCCTACGGTGGCCTTGAGAGGACAATATTTATTCACACCCTCACCTTCTGTTTTGGCGTCTGCTCACTTACTTTAAGAACCGGCTGTCATTCTTGGCTTTTCATTGGTTGAAGATATGTGCCCCCGAAGAGCCTACAAGCGGGGAGTTATGGTAATGTCTTAATGATTTATTACTGAGCTGAGTTTAAAGGTTCGCAGTTCAAGCCCACAGCTGTTCCTCGGGAGAAAGATGATGCTTCTCTCCCGTGGAGATTTACAGGCTCGGTAACTCTATACTGGGTCACTAGATGGCAATGATGGATGTCTTTAAATTTGGGGGAGTTCAAGTAAAATAAGCCTAACAAACTAGATCAAGGAGCTTTGGTAGCGTAGTGGTTACGAGTCGGGCTGCTAACCTCATGGTCAACAGTTCGAAACTACCAGCGGTTCATGGTCAACAGTTCGAAACTACCAGTGGTTGGGGGGTGGGGGAAGATGAGGCATTCTGCTCCCATAAAGATTTACAATCTCTCGACTCCACGGCACACCACCATCAACAAACTAAATCAGATGCCATAGGATAACAAAATGGTTGCTTTGTTAACCTTATAGCTGCTAACGTAACCTTCTTCTCTTGGTTTCCATTACCCAGCACTCTCCGGGTTTTCACCTTGCCTCACTGGCTCCTCTTTAGTCTTCCCTGTGTAAGTAAATATCATCATTATCCACCCAATTGCTCAAAACCTATTAAAGTCTCTTTAAGTACTTCTATCCCATCCCCATTCTAGAAACAAGTCCTCAGAGTCAACTCAGCCTCCAGAGTCAGTCGTAACTTGAATTTAGATCACTGCTACCATCCTAACCTGAGTCCTGGTGTGGTGCTGTGGGTTAATGCACTGGACTGTAAAGGTGGTTTGAACTGCAAAGTTGGCGGTTCAAGCTGTACAGGGTTGCTATGTGTTGGAATCGACTCAATGGCACTTAACACCGTTCTATCTGAATAAAAGTCATTTTAATTTCTTGCCTGAAGTACTGCAGTCAATATTTTTTCTTTTAACTTTTTATTATAGTTTGGATAAAAGTTTATAGAGCAAAGTACTCAACAATTTATATACGTTTTATGTCATTGGTTGAAATCCCCTCAATGTAACCACATTCTTCTCACTTCCTGGGTTTCTCCTTTCTATTTACCCACCTCTCCCCCACCCCCCTTTCTGCTTTTGAGCTTTGTTTTTGGACAAAAGCTGCCTTTATCTTCTTGTGTGGTTGATTGAACTGAGGAATACGTTCCTCCCTGGTGTTATTATTCACTATAAGGCCCTGGTGGCCCTGTAGAATAATCACTGGACTGCTAACCACAAGATTGGCAGTTCAAATCTGTTCCTTGGGAGAAAGATGAAGCTTTTTGCTCCCATAAAAATGTATACCCTGGAAAACCCTGTACAGCATCACTATGAGTTGAAATCTACTAAATGGTAGTGGGTTCTATTATTGGCTGATAATTGATCCCTAAAGGTGGGTTCAGTTCCAGGCTTGAGGGGTATCTAAGGGGCACAGTCTTGGGACCAGCAGTCTCTATCAGACTAGTAAATCTGGTCTTTATAATTTTGAATTGGCTCTGCATTTTTCCCTTCCCTCTCTGTCTAGGACCTACTATTGTGATCCTTATTAGAGTGGCCAGTATTGGAAGCCAGGCACCAGCTAGTTCATCTTGTCTCAGGCTAGTGAAGGCTGTGGTTTACATGGCCCATTATTCCTTTGGACTAATAGTTTCCTTGAGTCTTTGATTTTGATTTTCTTCACTCTTCTCTGCTCCAGACAGGAAAAGACCAATAGTTACATCTTACTTAGATGGTTATAGGTGACCACTTGCAAGATGACACTTGCAAGTTTTTTTGTTTTGCTTTTTCTTGTGAATCGAATGACATTTTGTTTCATCTCACTGGTTGCAATCCCTTACCCTACAGTGAAAATCACTCATTCCATTCCTCTCCTGTTTTTCCCATTTTCATCCTCCTTCTTTCTTAACCTTTTCTGACTCCTGAACTTTGTCTTTAGACAAATGCTGCCCTTTTGATCTGAAATGGTTGATTATTCTAAGGAATGCCTACCTTCCTAGTGTTATTGTTTATCTTATAAGTCTGTCTATTGGTTGGCTGAAAATTGAGTTACAGGGATGAGTTCATTTCCAGGTCTGAAGGGTAATGGCCATAGTCTTGGGTGTTCTGGAACACCAGTACTATGTGACCGGTAAGCCTTGTCTTTTTTTTTATGATTTTGAGTTTTGTTCCACATTTTCTCCTACTCTATACAAGAACGTCTAACATAATCCCTTTCAGAGCAGTTGCTAATGGTAGCCTGGTATTATCTAGTTCTTCTGGTCTCAGGGTCATGGAGGCTGAGGGCCTTGTGGTCACTTAGTCTTTTGGACAAAGTATTTCCATGCATCTTAGATTTTTTTTCACTCTTCTTTGCTCTGGATGGGGAGACACCAATAGTTACACCTTAGCTATCCACTCACAAACTTTTAAGACCCCAGTTGCTTGTCACCAAAGCAGAATGTGTCTTTGTAGACTCTGTTGTGCCAGTTGACTTTGGTGTCCCCTGGAACTCTGATCCTGAGCCCCCAGACTCAGGGGCTCATTCCCTCAATGTGTTTCCTCATGGCTAAGAACTTTCCAGAACTTTGTCCCTGTATGCTCTACTGTTGTTGTTTGTTGTTAAGTGCCTTTGAATTGGTTCCGACCCTTAGCGATCCTGTCTAGGGTTTCCAAGGAGCAGCTGGTGAGCTTGAACTGCTGACCTTGTGGTTCAAACCAACTTTGCAGTCTAGTGCATTAACCCACAGCACCACACCAGAACGCCATATGCTCTACTACATTCATGGATATATTTGTTGTATTTGTCAATATATATGTAGAAACATTTTCTGTAAAATCCATATATATTCATGGGTATAGAACCACTCTCCTTACATCTGCTCAGCTTGCATGTCTGTGTTTCCACTTGTATATTATTGTTATTAGTGTTATTGCAAGAATGTGTGTATGATAGTATTTACTTGCTTCTGATGCCTGTAACTCTTAGATTCCTGCCAGTGTCTTCCCTTGACTTAATCATTTTTTGCTGACCTTATTGTATATATTGCCTTTCCCTTTACCCAAGTTAATATATGTCTACCATCTGGTAGCATAGTGGTTATGAATCGGGCTGCGAACTGCAAGGTCAGCAGTTCGAAACTACCAGCTGTTTCGCGGGAGAAAGATGAGGCTTTCTGCTCATGTAAAGATTTACAGCCTCGGAAACCCTGTACAGGGTCACTACGAATCAGGACCGACTCCATGGCACATAACCACCACCATCTAGTGATTTGCCCTCCCTTCCCCTTCTACTCCTGATAACCATCGAAGAATGTTTCTTTTTGTGTGGTAACCTTTCCTTGGCTTTTTATAATAAAGGCCGTATATAATATTTGTCCTTTTGTATCTGAATAATTTCACTTAGCATAATGTGCTCCAGGTTCATCCATGTATGAGGTATCTCTGCAGATTCATTATTATTCTTGAATGTTGCATAGTTTTCCATTGGGGAGTGCAGTGCCTCTAGAGGATAAGCACTGGACTGCGAACCACAAGGTCGGCTTAGGAGCACTTAAGTATGCCTGTGGAAAGGGTCACAGGGAAAAGAAGTGAGGCTTCGCGTGGAGTCCCGTTTCCCCTCCAACTGTACTTTCCTTTTCTGTGTCTTCAGTAATCCAAGCTCATTCTTACTCTAGAGACTTTGCATTAATAATTCCGTTTCCCATGTCTTTTCTTTTAGATCAAGCGTCACTTTTTTTGGATGTCTTTTACCTCATCCCCTGCTAGCCTCACTGCCTTGGTTTATTTTCGTCATTATACTTACCTTGATCTTCCTTATTTACAATGGAAGGTATTAGCTTCCTTATTTACTTGTTTATGTTATCTGTATTTAGAAGATAAGCACTCTAAAAACAAAGATTTTATTTTATTCACGGCATATCCCCAGAGTGGAAACCCTGTTTGGAATGTAAAAAAGCCCACTGCTGGGGGTTACAAAGGCAAGAAGTGACTGGCTTACAAGCTTTCAAGAGGGAACCTAGATCGGGAGGGCCTGGAGGAAGGTAGAATCTCCAGTGAGTAGTATTCAGTCTGTCTAGGCGGGGCTGATGCAATGAAATGCAGACGGGTCTCTTGTGATACAATAGTGAATAATTGTTATCAGGACTGATTGTGAGGGTTGGAAATGTAAAGGTAGACGTTTTGTGGCAAGGAGGGGAGTGATGAACTTTTCA